AGCCTTCCAACAAAGATGTAAATAATTGCATTGAAATGAAACAGGCAGAAAGCAAAGCACATTCTTTGTCCTGCAGACTTAAATTGAAACCTAACTCTATAGATGTAACCTTGGCTTTCCTGACAGTCTTGCAGATGGATTCTCAGATTACTGGCAGCTGAAGTACAAAATTATTTTGAGTGAAACCCCAGTGTTTGAATGCAGTTAAACCCTAGTATAAAATCATCTTGTACAAAGACTTTATAAACACAAGACTAGATGTGGGGGGAGAGATAGCTCAGTGGTTTGAGCATTGGCCTGCTAAACCCAGGGTTATGAATTCAATCCTTGAGGGGGCCACTTAGGGATCTGGGGCAAAATCAGTACTTGGTCCTGCTAGTGAAGGTAGGGGGCTGGACTCAATGACCTCAAGGTCCCTTCCAGTTCTAGGAGATAGGATATCTCCATATATTTTTATTATTAACGTGTAATACTGCTATGCTGAGGGTCGGGTGAAACCTCATTGAAGCTAATGGGAGTAACAATCAATCACCCTTCACTCTAGTTAAGTGTAAAAAGCAGCTAAGCTCTTTATGGATATAGATAGCTGAAGCAATAGGAGTCACTCCCTGCAGTCTGAGAGAACTTACCTGGGGTCTGAATGCCAATTGAGGGGGTTGGGTATTGTTTGATGGAGCTCTGTGTGTGTGGTAGAGAAGTAGCAGAAACACACAGAAGCATACACAGCAAGGAAGACCCAGACACATCCAGAGAATCACTTGTAGCATGACCTTGAGAAAAAGTTAAGGCCTTGGCAACACTACAGAGTTTTTTTTGACAAAAATCATCTTTTGTCAACAAAACAGTGGAGGTGTGCAGACTACAATGCTCCTGCCACGAACAAAACTCTTCTGCTTTGCCGACAAAATAAAACCACCTTGACAAAAGATCTAGAACTTTTTGTGCCAAAGCTGTATTGACAACATAACAGAGTAACAGGTTTCAGAGTAGCAGCCGGGTTAGTCTGTATCCACAAAAAGAACGGGAGTACTTGTGGCATCTTAGAAACTAACAAATTTATTTGAGCATAAGCTTTTGTGGGCTATAGCCCACTTCATCAGATGCATAGAATGGAACATATAATAAGAAGATACATATATACATACAGAGAACATGAAAAGGTGGAAGTTGCCATACCAACTCTAAGAGGCTAATTAATTAAGATGAGCTATTATCAGCAGGAGAAAAAAATTATTGTAGTGATAATCAAGATGGCCCATTTCTGATAGTTGACAAGAAGGTGTGAAGATACTTAACATGGGGAAATACATTCAATTTGTGTAATGACCCAGCCACTCCCAGTCTCTATTCAAGCCCAAGTTAATGGTATCTAGTTTGCAAATTAATTCCAGTTCAGCAGTTTCTCGTTGCAACAGAAAAGCTTCAAAAACAGACTTCAAAGAGAAACTGCTGAACTGGATCCGCTCCAGCCGTAGGAACTTCAATAACTAAGGTCAGATTTCTCATGGCATGTTAGATAAGAATGGGACACATGTCAGTGCTGTGCAAAGATAAAGGAGCTGAGGCAGGCATACCAGAAGGCAAGAGAGTCAAACTGTCATTCTGGTGCTGGGCTAAAGACCTGCTGCTTCTATGAGGAGCTGGATGTCATCCTCAGCAGTGACCCCACCTCCACCATCAAGAGCCCCATGGATACTTGTGGGGGCTGGAGACAGCAGACAAAGTCGTGGATGAGCAGGTTGAGTTGGAGGACGATGTGGAGCACACAGCAGGGCCATCTGGTGGCGCAGCAAGTCAGGACCTCTTTTCCATTCTGGAGGGGTCTAGCCAGTTCCAGCAGTTCATTTCTGGCACACATGATGCAGGGGAGGGGAGCTCTGGTAAGTGATCTTTTTGAGTTGTTGCTGCTTGGTTATGTGAGGCAGAGCTGTCCTTTGCTTTGTATTTTCTATAAGCAGGTGAAGGGATAGAAATGTACAAGACCAGCTGTGTTTGTGTGTGCTTCACATTCCCCTGTGCAGCTAAGCAGTGTGGTAGAACAGTGTGTTAACGCACTCCGAGATTTCCTGGGAATCCTTCAAAGAGATCTTTAGGAAACTTTCCTGGAGGTACTCACCAATCCTCTGCTGAAGGTTCCTTGGCAGAAGTGCTTTGTTCCTCCCCCCATTGTAGGAAACTTTCCAGTGCCAATTGGCAATCACTTGTGCAGGGACTAAAGCAGCACACTGGCAAGCACCTAGGGACCCAGTCTGAAGCCAGACCCATGCAGAAGATGCATCTTTGCATCCTTGCTTACCCTCCAGAGTGAGATATCATCTTCAGTGACCCCATCTGTGAAAAATGGTTGTAGAATTTACCATGTTGTGAGAGGCTACTGGTGTGGTGCTTCTGCTTTCTCCTGTTGATATCACTCGGCTGCGTGCGTGTGTTCCCTCTGTGTGCTGCCCCAGCTCTGCGCAGATAGCTGACACAGCAGACCCGACAAGAATCCCCAATAACCACAGAGTCTACTAAGATACAAAGGCACCTCGGCCAGGTTTATTGCGATCTCGGACACAATTGCAGTTCCCTGTAGGTTTCTGAGCCTCAATCAGGGCATACTACGAGAAAAGTGCCTCTTGGCAAGGACCCGGCTCAGTGGCGGGACTTTCCACTGCCCCCGTGGCCGGACAAAGACACCACCCCAGGGACACATTCTTATACACAGGTACAAACAAGTTACAA